GAAGCAGCCGCAGGCGTCTGGACGCACCCTCCCCCGGCGGTCGGCTGCTGTAGCCACCCCACCGCCGGCTGCAGCCCCTCTGTCTGCTCGTCGCAGAGAGCGCCCTCCTGTGGCCTCCATCTCCGCTCCAGCTCAGCTGCAGCAGGAGCCTTCACAACGGCCGCAGCGTGGAGCTGGCCGCAGGAAAGCGGTGCAGCCCGTCTCCGCCCCTGCTAAGCCCGTGAAGTGCCAGGGCGGGCCCTGGGACAGGCGACCCGGGGGTCTTGGATCCGGCTCTTCAGGAGATGGTGACCGCACCACTCCTCAGTGGAGTACCGGGTGGAGAAACCTTTGTTCCTGGGTTTTTCTGTTCCGCCACTGGCTACCCAGCCAGTGGTGCCCAAAACCTCAACAGAAGAGCGGGTTCCTTTTTCTCCGGGTTCCAAGACGGCGAGGATGGCAGTGCGCGAGACCCAGTCTCCACATGGCCGTCCCCCTCTCACTTTGCCATTGGGCAGCAGGGTTCAGTTCAAGGACGCTCTTTTCTCGGCATGGAGCTGGACTCGATTGGAAAATGGGAGGAGGGTTTAACAAAGTTGCCTGAGCAGATGAGATGGAAAAGAGGGGGTCTCAAATATTTGGGAGTTTTTCTTGGTGATGAGGTTGCACAACAGAAAAATTGGGAAGGAATTGTGGAAAAGATAGAAGGTAGACTTAAAAAATGGAGTTGGATTCATCCACAAATGTCTTTTCGAGGAAGAGTGTTGGTGATTAATAACTTAGTAGCATCAACTTTGTGGCACAAACTGTCTTGCATGGATCCACCTATTGGCCTTTTGCCAAAGTTACAGTCAATGTTAGTTAACTTCTTTTGGGACAAACTACATTGGATACCCCAAAGTGTGCTATACTTGCCAAAAGAGGAAGGTGAACAGGGTATGGTGCACTTGCAAAGTAGGTTATCGACCTTTCACCTACAGTTTATTCAGAAGTTTTTAAAAGGGTCTGAAGAGCTGGTATGGCGAATGACAGTTAGAACAATTTTAAAGTGGGTTGAAAATCTTGGATTGGACGCTGCTCTTTTTCTAATGGTTTCAAGGAACATTGGTTTAAATGGACTACCATCTTTTTATCGTGGAATTTTTAAAGTGTGGACATTTTTTATTGTTCACAGATTGGAAAAAATATTCTCATTGTTCTGGTTGCTTGAAGAACCTTAAAGGAGCCAGGTTTGATATAAGTAATGAGAGCATGTTGGGACTCACGCCGATACTGTGCTCCTCTAGAACTGTTCAACTAAAGCATGTAGTGGATGTGGCTGGGAACTTGGTTTCACACCAGATTTAAAAGATACATCAGGACCTTTATTGGATTTGGAAGAGTTTAAGAATTTGGACTTAACTATACTGGGGGGGAGGAATGTTGTATAAATGTTTTGTGAAAGTGTATAATAAGGCATCTTTGGATAAGAGAAATGATACAGTGTGGAGAAGTAAATTTGTTTTAGATGAGGGAATAAGACCAGTGTGGAGAGTTTTGTATAAACCACCATTGACAAAACGTGTTGGGGATTTACAGTGGAGGATTTTACATGGAATTGTAGCAGTTAATGCTTTTATTTCTGTGGTTAATCCCAGCGTTGATGACAAGTGTATTTTTTGTGGATGTAGAGAG